GGGGAGCGGGGAGGGTGGGGACAAAATGAGGACCTGATGCCGGGGGCTTAAGTGGAGAGGAAATGTATTGAGAATGACGAGGGCAATGAATGCACAAATGTGCTTGACACAATGGGTGCATGTATGGATTGTGATAAGAGTCGTATGAACCCCTAATAAAATGATTAAATTAAAAACAAGATCTCTCTCCTCATTCAGAATCCCCTTCAGAGCAAAAGGGGCCTCCTGTCACAGGGTCACCAGAACAACAGGCATCGTCACCCAGGACACCCCCGGGCAAGGGGTATAGAATGGCACTTCCTGCCAGGCAGCCTGCAGGGATACGTCCTGGGGTGTGTGCGGCTGGAGCAGACTAGGGAAAGGGCGGGGTACACCAGAAGGACATGGAGGCAGAGAAGAGCCTTTCATCTGTCAAGGGTCAAGGGTGCAGACGTGTTCCGTAGGACCACTCTTCAGAGAACCGGGCCCCCAGCCCACACCCCAGTTACTGCCCGCTTTCCCTCTCAGAATTGACTGCCCCTTCTCTGAAACTCCTAGCCTTGACCCCGCACCTTGGCCCTCTCAGCCCGGACCCCACTGCCTTTCCCAGAACTCAGGGGCTCGAGTCCCCAGCTGCGGTTCTCCTGGGCCTCAGCCTTTCCTGCCTTCGACTGAATCAGCAGCATCTTCTAAGCCCTGGGGGCTTCCCCGCGCCCCAGTCTGGGCCTAGAACCGCCCGCTGCCTGCCACGCTGCCACTGCCGCTTCCTCTATAAAGAGACCCAAGCGTCCAGGGCCGCCGCACAGCAGGTGAGACTCCCACCCATCGCCTTGGCCGCTGCTGGCGGACGCCTGCCCCTGCACCCTGCCTCTGGGCCCACGCCTGGCCCCTGCCGTGCTCAACCTGCCTGGGACTTGGCCTGGGTGGGTTCAGTGTGGTTTGTTCCCATCCCTGACTCTCCATCTGTCTGTCGTTTGCAGCAAGGGACACCTTCTCTGCTGCTGCCACTCTCTTCCGTTCCCTCCCCACCTCTGGTTCTCTTTCTGCCCCCTTCACACCCCCCCACCGCCACGGCTTACCTCAGGGTTTCCCTGACTGCGCCGTGGTCCCTTTTCTGTCTGTCTTTCGGGGTGGCTGCCTCCGAGAGAGCCGGAGGCCCTCTTGTGCAGCGCTGCGCCCCGCCCTGCTCACTTTCTGTCTATCTGCAGGTTCTTCACATGACACGACCCGGGTACCTCTACCTCCTGCTGGGGCATGCCACCCCCTTCCTCCTCCTCCTCTTCCTGGGGCTGCTGCTGGCCCTGCCATCTGGGACGCAGGTGAGACAATCAGAGAGCAGGAGCTTTGGGGTGCCCAGTCAAACAGTGGGTCCAGGCGCCCCCCTAATTCTATTCTCTCCTAGGGGTTTCCTGGCCTTGGCCGCTCGCCCTCAGCGGCTCAAACTGCCCACCAGCGCCCCCAGAAGCACTTCACCTCTGGCACCCTCAAACCTGCTGCTCACCTCGTTGGTAAGCACCTAACCACCCAGGCCCCACCCTACCTCCAGTCCCCGTTCCACTCCCCCCCACCCCGACCTTGAACACCCACTCCACCTCCACTCCATTTTCCTGTCCCCCAAGGACAGAGGTGTACTTCCTGCACCCATTTCCCCCCACCCATCCCTCAGGGACTAGTCACTGCTAGTAGTACCTGCTTCCCCAGGGACCAATACCTCAGACCGTCCAGACACCCTGACTCTTGTCCCCATGACTCTCCCTTCCTAGGAGACCCCAGGACGCAGACCTCGCTGCGCTGGAGAGCCAACACAGACCACGCCTTCCTCCGCCATGGCTTCTCTCTGAGCAATAATTCCCTTCTGGTCCCCACCAGTGGCCTCTACTTTGTCTACTCCCAGGTGGTCTTCTCTGGAGAACGCTGTTCCCCGCAAACCGTCCCCACCCCTCTCTACTTGGCCCACGAGGTCCAGCTCTTATCCTCCCAATACCCCACCCACGTGCCTCTCCTCAGCGCCCAGAAGTCCGTCTCCCCAGGGCCACAGGGCCCTTGGGTGCACTCAGTGTACCAGGGGGCTGTGTTTCTGCTCGCCCAGGGAGACCAGCTGTCCACGCACACCTCCGGCATCTCCCACCTGCTCCTCAGCCCCAGTACCGTCTTCTTTGGAGCCTTTGCGCTGTAGAACTTGGGAAACACCCAGAAAGAAGAGAAAAAAAGAAATGTTATCAAGGCCTCCTCCTCATTGGGCTTCCATTCTGGCTGGTGGTTTCAAAGGTTACCACCACCTCCCCTTCAACCATTCCAGCAGTCCCCAGGCTTCCCCGGCGAAAGTCACCTGGAGCTTCCAAGAAGGTATTCTAGGCACCACACCTTCTAGGGCCACCCCGGATGTCCTGCCAAGGAGCCCAAGCCTGCTCAGAGCGTTCCAGCCCAGAGCTGTTTGTCCGGCTGGTCTAGGCGGGGCCGAGGTCCGGGCACGGGGGAGGCCTGGCCCTGCGCAGGAGCTTGAGTGGGTGCCTGGAGGTGGGGAGGAGTCATTATTTATGACGGGGAAATTAAGTTATTTATTTATAGATGATGGAGAGAGCGGAAGAAAAGGGGTATCCGGAGCGAGAGGAGAGTGAGAAACAGAGCCAGAGGGTGAGGGAGGAAAGGGCAAAGGCCCAGGCTGGTGCGGCCCAGAAGGTCTGGGCATCCAAGGGGCACTTGAAGGGAAGTGGAAGGTTCTTAAGAGCTAGCCACTGCTTAACTAGACAGCCCCCCACCCCCAACCCCCCCCAAAAAAACAATAAACCTCTCTCCACTGAAGCGGGTGTCTGTCTGTCCTTCTGCGAAGGGAGCATGCCTCTGGTTTCTGGGCAGCATGGAGGGAGGGGCAGGGACTCAACGGGGACAGGAGTGTGGAGAAGAAGGAGCCGAAGAAACCCACAGCCGGCGCTCTGGGGATGTGCGGTGACTTCCAAGGGACTGGGTCCGGCACACAGCCACCAGGAACCCAAGGGAGAAGCCCAGAGGACCGAGGGGAAACGGGGTCCATGGTCCGGAGGGGTGGAGGCCAGAGGCCTCTGGGAGATGGGGCTCTCAGGAACAGGGGGGCTCTCAGGAACAGGGGGGCATGAGGTCTCTGGGAAGCAGTGACTGTACCCAAGAGGGGAAAGGTCTAGCGCCCCGGTGTGGGGTGCGCCCCGGTTCCTGAGGGGCGGGAGAAGCTCCAGGTCTAGGAGGGTGTAGAAAATGGGCCATGTGAGGAAGCGGGGCACACTCTTAGGCTCTGAGGGGTGAGAGTGTCCCCAGGAATCTGGGGGGGGGACCAGGGGTCCTCTAGGAGACAAGGGCCACCCACACAGCCTCTACAGTGGAGGCTTCGTGCAACCAGCAGAGCCCTCGGGTTCCCGAGACTGGAAGCTGCAGCTTGAGTCCCAGGGTCAAAATGAAAGAAGAAGACGGACCGTGGGGTCTGTGAATTCCCAGGACTGGTTTCACTCTCTCGGGGGCTGTCCCAGGCCTGTCCCTGCATCCACATCCCTGTCTCAGACTGCCCCCCACCCCCACCCCTCAAGTTCCTTTTCTCTCCAAAGGGCTAAGCACACACCTCCCAACTCAAGACTCAGATACGGACCTTTGTCCCCAGTCCCCCCCTCCCCCAAAGACCCAGCTTCCTGAAGCCCCTCCCACCCTGCCCTCTGGAGTTCTACCCCCACAGGAATCCCGCGTGGAAAGCCAAGGCCCCAGAGAGCAGTCCTTGAAGCTGTGGGAACTGTAGAATCGGAGGGGCCACCCTCCAGGGTCCTATGCACATTTTGGTCACTGACCCAGGAACACTCCCCCCTGTGCCCCCCCTCACCCCCCCCCAATCCAAATGGGGAAGGTGGGAAGCATCCTTGATGCTTGGGTGTCCCCAACTTTCCAAACCCCGCCCCCGGAATGGAGAAGAAACCGAGACAGAAGGTGTAGGGCCCACTACCGCTTCCTCCAGATGAGCTCATGGGTTTCTCCACCCAGGAAGTTTTCCGACGGTTGAAGGAGAGCTTCTCCCCGCCCTCTTCTGCCCCAAGAGCGTATAAAGGCAGTAGTTTGCACCCTAGCCAGCAGAGCTCCCTCGGAGAGGACACCAAGGGACCAGCCAAGAGGAAGAGCAGCACCCCCAGATCCCCCGGGGAAAGAGCCCACCAGACACCACACTGCCAGACAAGCAGTCAGACAAGCTCCTAACCTGCTCGCACACCTAGCTCCCATCCTCCAGCTGCGCTTGAGCCCCGTGCACAGGACAACATGAGCACCGAGAGCATGATCCGGGACGTGGAACTGGCCGAGGCGACGCTCCCCAAGAAGTCCGGGGCCCCTCAGGGCTCCAGGCGATGCCTGTACCTCAGCCTGTTCTCCTTTCTGCTCGTGGCAGGAGCCACTTTACTCTTCTGCTTGCTGCACTTCGGGGTGATTGGCCCGCAGAGGGAAGAGGTGAGTGCTTCTCAGCCTTCATTCAGAAAGGGGGGGCTGACAAGCGAGGCAAAGGTGGGGAGTCAGAACAAGACGTGTGAAGAGAGATGGGGAAGGGGGAGCGAGGAAGGTGCTTGGGCTCACTAACTTGGTTGCTGAATGACTAAGTCAACAAGCAAATGAACAATCAACAAACAGCCAGAGAGACAAAGGAGGAGATCGGTAAAGCGATAGGGAGCGCAGGTAGAGACCTGGGACAGAGCTAAGTGATGCGTACTAAACTGATACCACAGAACAGGGATGTGGGAGATTTGAGAGATAAGGAGAGAGAGGAAAGGAAAGTTACAGGAAAAATGAAGGTCAGGTGTGTGTGTGTGTGTGTGTGTGTGTGTGTGTGTGTGTGTGTGTGTGTTTCGGACCAAGTTACTAGAAGGCTGGAGGGATGAGTGAATCCATGAATGGATCGAGAGACACACCGGAGGCATCTGAGCAGAGAAAGCAAGAGGGGCAGCCCAGTCACACCCCACACCCTGCTCCCTTTGTGGGGCCACCGGCTAATGCGAACTCCTCTTTCTTCTGTTCAGCAGTTCCCGGGCGGCTTCCATCTCATCAGGCCCTTGACCCAAACACTCCGTAAGTATCACGCAAATATCTGAACAGCTTCCCTGATTCTGAATTTAGACGGCGATGGGAGATCGCCCTGAGAAGAAAGCGATTTTTTATTTCTATTTTTCAGCGGGAGGGGATTTCAGAGTTTTGTTTTGGGGGTGGGGATGGAAGTGAAGGTGAGAAGATCTGTTTTCTGGAAGGTTTGAGGGTCTCACCTTCCTCCTCTCTCCTCCTCAGGGTCACCTTCTCGAACTCTGAGCGACAAGCCTGTGGCCCATGTTGTAGGTAAGCGCCTGAGGACAGGTGGAGGGGGCGGGGGTGTCTGTGCTGAAGGAGCAGTTGGGAGGTGAAGGGAGAGGACTGAGGGGCTGGATGGGGAGACAGTGGAGGAACAGCCCAGGCCTTCAGGGGGATACTGAGAAGCTCATGTCTCCATGGGATGTGGGAGACAAAGGGGCCAGGAACCGGATGCCAGTGTGGGGGTGGGCAGGACTTGAGGGCCAGGATGTGGAGAGTGGAACTGACTCACACATCTCTCTCATCTTCTCTCTCCCTCCAGCAAGCACCCAAGACGAGGGCCAGCTCAAGTGGGTGAGCAAGGTTGCCAATGCTCTCCTTGACAACAACGTGGAGCTGATAGACAACCAGCTGGTGGTGCCCTCTGACGGACTGTACCTCATCTACTCCCAAGTCCTCTTCAAAGGCCCAGGCTGCCCTGCCACACACGTGATCCTCACCCACACTGTCAGTCGCATAGCTGTCTCCTACCAGGCCAAGGTCAACCTCCTCTCCGCCATCAAGACCCCCTGCCACAGGGAGACCCCTGAGGGGGCTGAGGCCAAACCCTGGTATGAGCCCATCTATTTGGGAGGGGTCTTCCAGCTACAAAAGGGAGATCGACTCAGTGCTGAAATCAATCTGCCCGACTACCTTGACCTTGCTGAGTCCGGGCAGGTCTACTTTGGGATCATTGCCCTGTGAGGGGGATGCATGCAGATCATTCACCACCCAGCCCATCGCCCTCCCTGTCCTGCCATTCCCATTGGGCCTCCTCGTCCCCGAAAGGAAGGGGGACGAGCCGGGTCTCTAAGTCATCACCCCGAACAACAACACTTAGAACTTGAGATGCAAGGATGTGTGACTCAGACCAGACCGGGGGCACTGACCACCGCAGCCTGGAATCCAAACTGGGGCTTGCAGAACCCACTGGGTCTCCAGATGCAAATGGGGACACCTGAAATGTGGAGGTCTCCTTGAGCCTCCGGCTCACTTCCGAAGATCTGAGGAGTCCTCACCCAGAACTTGGCATGACCTCCGACCTCCCTTGCACCGAAAGTTTCTAGACCCTCCCCTAAGAGATGAAGCCCCCCGCCACGTGGCACTAGTCAGCCCTCTATTTATGTTTGCACTGAGAATTATTTATTATTTATTATTTATATATTTATTTATTTCCTGGTGAATGTATTTATTCAGGAGGTCGGGGAACCTGGGGGATCCAGTGTTGGGGGTTGCCTGAGCTCAGACATGTTTTCTATGAAAATGGAGCTGGAATGTAGGCTGCTCCCACCCCGCTTCCTGGCCTCCTTACCTCCCTGTGCTTGTGGATTTATCGATCGAGTTGTCTGGATAATGCTGATTTGGCGACAGACTGTTGCTATCTCGCTGAACCTCTGCTCCCCAGGGGAGTTGTGCCTGTAATCGTCCTACTGGTCAGTGGCGAAAAATAAAGTTTGCTTAGAAAAGAAACACAATCTCTTCTTTAGAGTACTGCTGCCGCCTCTCCTGGGTGTTGGGGATTCCCTCCCTGAAGTCCTCCGTCCCCGGGACCCAGCGTGCCAGTCCTTAACCGCACTCATCCGGGTTCAAGATGCCCCACAGAAACAAAGCCTAGCAGAATAATTCCCTCCCCCAAGAAACAGAAGCCACAACCCAGAACCCAATTACCTGGCCCTCCGGGCATGGGAATTTCCGTCTCTGGGAATTCCAATCCCTGCTGGGAAAGTCCTGCAGCTCAGGTAAGATTTCAGGCAGTTGCCTGAGCCAGAGAGAGCCTGGAAGGAGCTGCATTCTTGGGCACCTGAATCACTGCCAAGGAACTTCCAGAGATTCAGGTGTCTGGGCTCTCAATCCCCCACTCTGGGCCACCCACCCAGCCCTGTCCTAACTGTGCAACCAGAGCCAGCACCTTCCCCTCATCTATCAAACGGAAACGGGAATGTCCACTGCTTTTCAGGTCACGTGGGAACAGAAGGACTAATGGCCTCAGGGCACTCAGCAATCCTGAGCCCCAGGTAAGCAGTAGGACCAGGGAGGCTTGCTTCCTTCAGCCCCCAGCTGCCCGCCTATCCCCTTCCATTCTCCCCAGGAGCAAAATTGAAGCTACGGAAACAGATGTAAGCAATAACGTGTGGGTGAAGGGCTGCTGTGCCCGGTGGGTCTCCCCAATGTTGAGATGAAGAAAGAGTAGGAGGTGGGTGGCCTGAAGAGAGAACTCCCTAGCCCCAGGAGGTGCTCTGCCCTGGAGATGACACAGCAAAGGCAAATGAGGGCCTCAGTCGAGAGCTCCTGAGTGACCATCTAGGGGGCAAGGATTGGTCCTTCCCCGGCTAGAGGCAAGGAGCGTGATGAAAATGAAAACCACATGGAAACCTGAGTCCAGTGGGCTAGTAGAGCACTTGACCATCAGAGTCTGCAGGACCCTGGAAGCCGAAGAACTAGATGGTGCTGGCCACCACGGCCGCCTTCCAGGCAAGGGATAATTAGAAGGTCTTGGAGGGAACATAAGAAAAATGTGGGGTAAAACTTAAGATGATCCGAGATCAGGCTTACTGGTTGGACAGAGTGGTCGGATGCCTGAGACGCGGTCCCTTAGAGTCACCCTTCAAGTCTGGAAATGAGCTCACCTCTGTGGGTCAGTTTTCAAGCAGACAACAGACAGGTCTCTAGGGGAACCCTAACAGCAGTGCGGAAGAGCCAACCATTTGAAAGGCACAGTGCAGCCCTCCCTCAGGACAAAGTGCAGCAGGGTTAGGGTAGCAGGAGAAAGGAGCCGGCCAACATCGGGAGGAAGTAGGTGGGATCCTCATGGATGAGATGAAACAGGATGAGAACGAATCCTTTGATGGAAAACGGATCTGCTCCGTAGACTTTTACCCAAGTCACATTTTTTTTTTAATCAAATGATCATTTTATTGGGGGCTCTTACAAATCCATACATCAATTTTATCGAGCATATTTGTACATATGTTGCCATCATTCTTCAATTCGCAATAAAAAAAAAAAAAACGTAAAAAAGAAAGAAATGGGAGACCAGAGATCAGGGGCCCCCACTAGCCTCAGTGGAGCCCAGAGATCAGGGGCCCCCACTAGCCTCAGTGTAAGCTTCTTTCCGGCTGGCTTAGGGTGTCCAGGGTGGGGAAAACCGTGTGGTATGCTAACACCGGTGAGGTGTCCCACAGGGTGACCTAGATAGAGCCTTGGGTCTCCCTCTACCTCCTGCAGGCAGGAACTGAAAGTCATAGGGGGAGCAGTGTCCTCAATCCATGGGCGGACAACACTTGCCTGAAGTGTGAACCAGGGGTGATGACTTTGCACTGCCATCAGCTTTTCCTTGTCTCCCGGGGCTCTCCCCGTCCTCCAGCGCAACAGGCTCCCCCATGCATCCTCCCCAACTTTCTCCATCAGCCCCTCCCTTCAGATCCTGAGCTTCTGGCTCTAGGGGCCTTCAGGGGGGTTAGCAGGGGAGGAGGACTGGGCCCCTTTCTGAAGGACCCCTCCCATTCTTTATATTTGTATATATTGCCTGACTGGGGGGTGGGGGGGGACACCATGTGGCTCTGTGAATCACGCTTGGGGACGCTTTGGGGTTGGGGAAGATCTTCGTCTCCCTGAGCTAATGCGGGTGGGGTGGGGTGGGGGAGTTAGGGGGGCCCTGGCCAAGACCGGAAGACACCCCCCCCCCAAGGAGCAACGCCCATAAGCGGTAGAATGAATGATGGCAAGCAGCTGACCTCTCACACCACACCCACCCTGGAGGGAGGAAAAAAAAAAGTGGGGGGAGCTAAGCAACACTGGCGTGCCCACTCGGATCTAAGACCTGGTTAACATTTCGTTATTTATAACGGCAGCATCACGGCTTCAGATTCTTTATTTTTCCATCAGGCTCGAGATGCGTCCTTTGCCAGCCTCCGACATTTTCCCTCCCAGGCGGGGGGACCCGCAGGTCCGGGTCCCCAACTATCGGGCCGGTCCGTGGGGTGCCCTCACCCCACCATCACCGCCCCGAAGAAGGTCTTCCCTCGCCGGTAGTCCACCATCTCGGGGTGACTGATGTTGACGTAC